ACTACTATAATCTCTTTATAACCTTTTTTAAACACTATTTATTTAGCTTTATAAATATAATCTAATTTTATAAATATTTTATTTACTTTAGTTTATACTTTTTATAACGCCTCTATTCTTTTTTAAAATAAATCATTAGTGTTTTCTTTTTTATTATCTAAATAATAAGATTTAACTATCAAACGTCTTGTTATATATAAATTAATATAAATATAATATAATAAACTTAAATTATATAAATATTAATAGATTATATTATTAGAAGTATTATATATTATATAAATAATAAATATCACTTACAGTAATATACTCTTTATAAACTAAAAGGCTAAGTAATATTTTATAATATAACCTTTTAAACTAATAATAATAATAAAATATAATTTTAAATCTATTCTCTATAATATTTAAAGAATAATAATAGTAATAAGAAATAGAAATTATAGGAGTTTTAGAAATATGACTTAAAATAAGATTAATATTATGAATAAGTTAAAAAACATAATTAATAGATCTCTAACTTAAAACTAATAACTTATTTATGATGAGTTTTAAAAATAAGATTTTTAAAGAAGAGACTTAATATTCTAACTTATAAATAAAAATAATAGCTAAATAAGTTATTTAGGTATTAAATAGCTAGAATAAAATATTTATACTATAGGATTATAGAAATAAAAAAAACTCACTTAGATATAGAAAAACTATAATATAAGTTATATAGATTACTAAGCATTTAACCAGAGTTACTAAACACTTACTGATAATTATTAAGCGCTTATTAATACCTATTTAATAATTAGTAGTAAAATAAAAAAAAACTAATTAGAACTTATATATAGTACATATTAAGCTTAGCTTATAATTAAACCTCTACAGCTTTTTAGTAATTAACTTTATATTTATTTTTAGGATACTTTTAGCTTATCTTTACTATAAATAATTGATAGAGTCTAAGATTAATCACTTTAGCTTCTAAAGGCTGATCTATAATAAAGGTTATAACTTATAACTTAAACTATAAACTTAATATATTATTACTACGTGTTAATTCCTAGCTTTTATTAGTAGACCTTACTGTTAGATAGCTAACTATAGTATATAGTGAGTTTAATAGAGAGGTTAGCTTAAGGTTTTAAAGAAGGTTAGACTTCTTTTCTTAATAAAGCTAAATATAGAGAAACCTTAATATAAGCAGTTAAATACCTTAATATAATAATACTAACGAAATATATAGTAATACTTACTGTCAATTTTATCTAGCTAGATATATTAATTGCTATTTAATGAGGATTATATATTAAAGCTAGTTTAGCTTATACTATAATAAAAACACTAAGAGGCAACTTAATAAGTAAAAAAAATATCGCAGTTATATAAAATATCAGAGGCGACTTATATATAGAATCTAAGTGCAGCATACTACCCTCTAGTTTTATGCTTTAAAGGTTTTCTATCCTATTTTATATCTCTGCTGATAGCCTTAATAACTCCCCTATAGTATACCACTTTTCTAGCTTAGCACTTTTACTACCCCCCCTATATTCTAGCTAATATATATGCCCTTTTGATTTGCTAAAGTTAATAAAGCTATAAGAGTTAGTAATAATTATACTAGCTGGAAGTTACTGAAATATTAGAGGAAGGTAAGCAAATAGATTGAATAACTTTTTAGAAGTATTAATTTCAGTTCTATAATATTAATTCCCTTATAATTAGGCTCTTCGCCTTAGAGAATAATAGTTTATAGTATTTAAAGCACTAAGCTTTAGACTTCAGCAACCTAGGTTATTATTAATATTAACTTATTAGTGTGGAAGAAGGTAGTTAAAAATAATTAAAACTCAAGTAGCTATTGCAAATTTACTCTTAGAATTCAACGAATTTCCGAAAATCCTATGTGTTTATAAGGAAATACCTGTCCACTGGCCTAACTCGGACATATCTAGTTTCTACGTAGATCACCATGGGCCCATGGAATCATCGAGAAGAAGCCAATTACTGTCTTCTGAGCACGTGTCCAAAACGCAGAGTCTGGGGCAAAAGTACACCATGATTCTTCCGGCGACATCTGACGATTGTGGCCCGACTTGAGGTTGCCTTCTTCGCCGTTTCTCGGCCTTCCGACCACATTTACCAGACGGGGTCTACTCTGCGTCTTGATGCGAGCAAACTTACCATAATAAATTGATGATATTATCTTTCGGAGAATCACAACATCTTCTTCGCAATGCAGTGGTCTGAATGAGACAACCACCATCATGAGATATACCGGATTCTCATATCGCACGGTTTTATAACTCATCGTTGGTAGATTTATTTTGAACGTACGCCTTGGTGCTACCATGCCTCATCTAAGTGACCTTTCAAGGCTCACCCACTCTTACTAGGCCAGTTGCACTATAGCTCATGATTTCGTCCATTTCTCCCAATCCTCCAGCATCGAGGCGTGAGAAGGTATGAAGTATTTGTCCATGTGAGGGCGTGTAGGCGGGCCAGCCCATTCCCGAACAGGCATCACCTTGTAGCGCAGCAAGAATATCAATGGGAAGTCGGCGAAATCTACAAATGTCTGCTTCCGACCGCCCGCCACATTTACTGTGCACACTGGGCCTCATTTGAGATTCCAGCAATATCTATAACATGTCGGATTGCCTCCAGTTTTACCCCTAGTAACGGCAGTCAGGCAAAAGCTGGACAGCGTCTGGTGCCGAATGAGGATGATCCACTTCATTCGATCCAGGCACGCCATTGTGTCTCGCCTGCAAATAGATGGGTTCGAGTCAATATGGTAATAGGATAGATTGCGCAGTTGAAACGTTCTGAAAAACAACTCTCGTGGTGTTCAGTAAGACACATAGAGCTTGCGAAACAGCCAGCCCTTTCGAGAATTTTCAAGCCATGCGTATGAATTGCGATGCACGTGAGGATGTACGTGAGAATATCGCAAGATATTTGACACAACTGCAGCTGAAAACGAAGTCTTGCAGTTGTGGTTTCGTGCACAGGCATCGTGACCAAGGTATTCAGCATGAGAGGCATCAGTACCAAGAGTTTCGGAAAAGGGGAAGTAGCTAGGGTGATGATCGATGGGTTGAGGGTGGAGAGTGGGAACGTTGAAGAGGACGGATGAACTCCCACATCTGGCCCAGGCCAGTTCAAGAGATCAATAGCCTTTGTTTGACTCGATTGGGTATTGGGATTCTGGTTCTACCGTCAAAGTGCTATTGATTTGAGTTATTATTGGAGATCTATCCCAGCTCACTCTTCCGGCATCATCGGCTCATCTCGTGGATTTCTGTGCTTACGCTTCAAGAGTCTGACTTCCCTGCTGTTTGGGGCCCAGCCTTATTGGAAGCTGTGGTGAAGTGGCTTTCAACATGTCTTTGGCATTTTGGTTTTGATTCTAGTTCTGCTCCCATGCCGGGCCAGCATGAGCCATATGTGCGGCGTGCCTGACACGAACCGGACATGAAGAACCCCCAGACTACTCATGCACAGCATCTAGACATCCCGAAACTGCCCTCCGTCTTTCTTTCTCTTTCCATATACACCAGGTCCGTGTGAATAGTTTCACAACTAAACCTGATAACGTCCGAGGTACCGCATGCAAAACATCATGGTCATCGACGAGCGCAATATCTCTAACCCTCATTTAGGTCGGAGAACACAAATGAATTGGCTCATATAGTATCCGAGAGAGCAGGCAACAACGTTCCACAGACAAAACACCGCAGCAAGACATACGAAACCACTCGATCTATTTGTCGTCTGCTCGGGTGTATTTGTGTGCTTCGAACGGTGGAACTGTCCCCATCGGTCAACTCGCGTGCACAATTGACACTCATGGACACTGAGAGTCTGTAACAGGATCCAGTATAAGGTCCGTCGCAGGGTTTGTCTTCAGCTTCTTTATCATAAGTGCCATACTGACGAACTTGCGGGAAGGATCGCGTGTGACGGTGGACACGAATGTCCACTCGCCCCTGCTCCTGTGCACGGTCTCTTCGGAGCATCAAAAGGTGGGAAAGCTCCTGGTATGCTGTCACTTATTTCAAAGATGTCACTATTCATTTCTGCGGACGATGGCTGATAACGCCTCTACTTGGCAGTGCTTGAGACGGCATCACGACCGACGTATCATCATATTTTGTTTTCGTTCCGACCACAGATGGACTTGGAAAAGGTGCAACAGCATGTACGAACAGATTTAAATCCAGCCGCATCTGAGAGTTGACGAGAGGGTTGAAGTCTCGGCCGCTGGTGGAGGAGCAATCCACTCGATTGTTGAACGGATACCTCCAATGATGGTGTTCGATGTGGCCGTGCTCAATATGGCTGTGCTTGATGTGTGGCGCGGGCCATGTGGCGTTGCTATCCCCAGGGGCCTGCTACTAAGGTACCTTACCTAGTGCGATGCGATGTCACTAGGCGCAGGGAGCACCAAGAATCTGAGTAAGCAGGTGGGATGGCCCGTGCACAAGTGGCCTTGTACTCGCTGGAACTGGTCGATGGGCTGCCATTGGCTCTGGGGAGTGCCCCACATCCCTTTTTACCGCCCCCAAGTGTTCCATTACCTTAGGTAAGCTGGCATAGGGCACCTATTGAACCCTGACACTGAGTGAGGTGAGGTCACCCAGCCAACCCCCAAGCTCCAGTGACGCTACGCAGTACGCTGCTGTGGCCCTGCTACCGTGGTCCGAAATCGAATCCCCGAATCCGCACCACAAAGTTGTTGACCCATCCACAAGACAAGCCCAGCATCCACGCATCGTCATATCATCGACCATTCGATGCGCTTCGCTGTTGCCCATCCAGTCCTAATGCAGTCGCAAGATAGCGTTCTCGCCTGGATATCCTCTCTGCCCAGGTATCCTGCCGAATATCTCAACCACCACGAAAGCGACAGCAACAGCCGCAAGCGCAAGCGGGCACCAACATCGACATCGCCATCGCCATCGCCATCGCACCGTCTGCCCTCGCCCCCCAAAAGTCCCAACATGGACACGACCATGCAAGAATACTACGATGACGAGCCCGCCGAGGATGACGCCAACGCCCAGAATACAAACTCATCGCAGCCGTCGGCACCCCTCCCGGACCCCAATTCCACCCCGAGGGCGCCAAAACAACAGAGGACGATGGGGACGATGGCTTCGGAGGCCGCTGTGTCGGATGTAGACTCGAGAAGCGTCACCACGACCTCCTCCATCAACAGCTCAGCACATTCCCTTGGGACATCAGCTTCCAGGGGGAAGAAGCGCCCGCGCCAACCGAGTCCACGGAAACAAAAAGCCGTCATGAGCCTGGAGGATGCCATCGAATCTGTCAGCTTCGGGAGTGGCATGGACCGACCTACTCTGTTAGATGAACTCGAGAGCCGCATAGAGAATCTCGCAGAGGGCAGTGGAATTGTCTCCCCCACACACAAGGTCGGTTCTATTCCCTGCCTCATCTGTCTGACTAGGTCGCCTCAGTCACCTAACCACTATCTTTCCACAGAACTCCCTCGTTTCCCAGGCGCAGCGCAGTCGACAGTTCAGCTGGGTCAAGAACAAGTCTTTCGCCCGTATTCCCCCGCGTCATGCTGCCCAGGATTCAACACCCCTGTCTAGCCGTGATCAACTGGGACCTACGCCTACTGTCGAGTGGGTCAAAGAGATATGGCGACAAGCCGATGATGCCGAGAAGATGAGCCATCACGAGGGCCACTGGAATTGTGCTGTCCATTATCCTTTGCTCTATGCCGCCCTCCGCCACTTTCACCAGATGGGCGTCTGTAGCTGGTGCGCCTACCTCCCCACCCCCCACCCTCCTTCTTGGATTCTCGTTTCTGACTGCAACTACCTTAGTACCACGGCCCAGATCCACGCAGACTACGCGCGGTTCGATAAAATAGCCCATCATAACAAGAGGGTTGACTTCTGCGTTTATGTCAAAGACGACTCCCCCGAGCTGATTGCTACGACTCTCGCTTCCCCATTCCAGTCCATCAACCACACTGACACCGCTGGGCTCCTCCAGCGCCCCATTGCACTCTCAGTGGAAACAAAGCTCACAGGGCATGACTGGACACAGGCACAGAACCAGATGGCCGCCTGGCTTCTCGCGCACTGGGATATGCTGGATGACCTCGTCACGCGGGTCAGGGGTGGTGTAGTGGTTCCCCGGACTGGAGACGACGCTCGAAGGCCCCGGCCTTCGCCAGCGGCAGCCGCCGGGCTGACGCTTTTGCCCGGGATCATTGTGCAGGGACACGAGTGGTACTTTGTTGCGGCGACACGTGCCGCGAATGGGAAAACCAACCTCTGGCACAAGATGCCAATCGGATCTACGCAGACAATCGAGGGGATCTACAAGGTGTTTGCAGTGTTGCAACTGCTTGGGAATTGGATACAAGAGACGTACTGGCCGTGGTTTCAGCGTGTCATCCTTCGCATTGGATGAGGAGACGGCCATGTTCATAACGGTAATGATAATCAACGACGTTACGAAGCACAGCCTCCAGGCCCACTGTCCCTCCCCCGTTAGGACATGAATGACGGAGTACGTGCATGATCTGAGGGAATATGGATTGCTGACTGCGAAGCTCATCAGCGTTGACGGTGGTCCGGCGCCATTCTCAGCGCGTGTCGGCGTTTTCATCATAATATCTGCATCGCGAGGCCAAGTCGATCTTGTAGCCCTCATCGAACAGCTTGAAAGCGAGACGAGAGCCTTACAGACCAGATCAGGCGTTTGGATGGAGGCAGAACAAAGGATGGCACAAGTCCCCGCCGTGGGGCGCCCTCTTTTTCAACAGACTGCGCCCAGGCCTGCTTTATCAACTAGTAGCAGTCCCACGCCTTGCTAAGTGCCCCTGTCTCAGAGACAAGCAGCCGGACCTACATCCGTGACAAGCCGAACCGCATTCTTATTTTCATCTCAAGAGACAGCAACGAATAGCTTCAGGAATTCCACTCAAAAGTCCCCAGTGAGAAACCCCAAGTCTCCCACGTCACCATGTCCAGCTTCCGGGGACAAGACACCCCGCACACAGACAACCGTGCTGCTTCTACCGGTGATGTCTTTGCGATTTCAAACCTGCACCGGTGTGTCATAGTATGAGACTCACGTCATATACGTGGCCTTTTTTGGATAAAATCTTACCGCCGTGTGACCTGACCTGAATGTCGCAAATGCTCGCAAATATCTATCCCTGCGACAAGACACCAGTTTCTCCAGCCACCGCCCACTTCGCTCCGGCAGAGAGCGATCGCCGGCGGGATATTTGCGAGATACTGAACCGGGGCTCGCCACTTTCCTGTCGCGCCGAACAGATATATGACCAAGGGAATTGTCCTTTTTGGCACGCTGCTGTCCTTCTTCAACCAAGAAATCAATTGCCCCCCCCATACTGATGATTCCGCTAGTTGATGACTCGAGCCGGCGACACCGAAATGCCCCGAGAAAGACGATGTGAGCTTACCGAACAGTTTTACAAAAGCTTTACTCAGCCCTAGCCGTCGAGACAAGACCAAGCAGCACTTATGCAGGTATCTCGCTCTCCCCAAGACAGATGGCTCACCGAGATGCAGAGTTCCAGCACTTTTGGTGCCAACTTCACCTTCAAATGGCTACATAAACAACAAGGCGCTGGGACCCCTGAAACGGGAGCGATGCCCGTAAGGACTTTTCGAATCCTCGCAACCGCAAATGGAACAAGCTACCGGTTAACATTTGCTCTGTTTTGCGGCCAGGTTGCAGGTGCAACTTGCTTAAGACGCTACTCGCGCGCACACTGGCGCGCATACTCCGACCGTAAACGGATCCACCACCGGACTCAACTGAGCAAGCATATTTATCGTTTTCCACAAGGAGGGGAATTCATGGCCAATCTGCCCAGACGACCTCCATGGTAGGGGTGTCTTTCGATACGACGGGTCGTTTGGTCAGTGTCTTTGACTTGCGACCCTGAGTCTCACTGATGCGGCAGGATATTGTATAGGCGAAGAGCCTACAACGGACCTGTCTGGCCCCTTTCCACCGAACTTTTGTTGGCCCTTTTTCCAGCGAGTTGGTATGGCTTACCGGGCCGCTTCGTGTGACCAGGAAGGCAAGGGCAAGGCCGACCACGTAGAGACACGAATCGCATGCTTGGTTAAGCCAGTACGAACGCCGCTTCAGCGACTTATTGTCAGCAAGGTTGCGGCCCTGAGTCATGACGCGTTTGTCAATTTCGCTGCATTGTCCAGAATCGTAGCATGGTGTTTGACCGTTTGGGCTGTATGATAGCATCCTTCTGCTGAATAGGATAAAAGGCAAATGATGAACTATCGTTCGACATGAAGGTTGAGGGGGCTAGAACTACAACGACCATGGGCTACGCTCAGTCCAGGGTGGTGAGGGATACGTGATCCCGTAATTGACGATTTGTTCGTTGAAATGTGGCTGAAAGAAGTGCTACTTCTGGCTCCACGCTGAGGTAAATTTGGCTGACAGTGCCTCAGTTACTATAAAGTGGTAGAGTTGTATGGGCTAAAAGCTGCTGAAAGAATACTGTCAAGAATAAAGCTTACGACAGTTGCACTTGAAAATAAATCGCCAAGATGTGACTAGATCTAAAATAGCAGAATCTTGATAATCGCAAGCTAGCCGGACGTTCTCAACATAAGATATAGGGAGGGGGCAGTTTAGAGATAAGGCTCCTTAGTTATATCTAGCTAGGCATAGCTAAGGGATGAGTATTTAAACGTCTCTCTATATCCTCCACGCTCTTTCATTATAGTAGTATAATGAAAACAATTAACTGTCTTTCTAATAGCAGCTAGTTATAAGAATAGACACTTATAATAGGACTAAGTAGTTTAAAGTCTTATATAAGTTATCAGACCTATATAGCCTTTATAAGCTAGTGAATATACTATCTAAGTGTTTTTTACTCACTTTAAGGCTTACTTAAAAGTAGCTGCTTTTAAATAAAGTAATACTTAAAATAAATAAAGCAATAAAAATAAGTAGATTTAGACGTATTAGTCTAATAGTTTCTATTTAGTTTTGCACACGGCAGCTAATTTAATTAAATAGTCCTATAGTCTGTGTCGTCCCTTAGCATTTTCTCTTCATCTTTTCTGACTTGCGTGATCTGAGGTTATCCGAAGGCATTGGCACACCGGATATGGCGAGCGTTGAATGCGAAATGCTAGGGTTGGTGTCCTGATTCCTAACGGGTCCATTAATTGAAAACCACGAGAAGCCAAAGACTACGGCGAACCCTGGATGGTCTGACCGAGAGCTCCTGGCGCCTGTATTCACGCCGTCTCCGTCGAAAGCTAGGAAAGCTTCGGCGATGAATGACTGTGATGTGTCGAAAGACTCGTCTGGATGCGGGGAGTCGCGGGGAGCTAGGGTTACACCTCTCGCCTTCGCAAAGATCAGGGTCGTTTACGCATAAACGTCTGGACGAAAAAGCAATGACCAAGACCCCGATTCTCCGAAACACCAGCTCTGAATTTTCGGGGGCCAAGACTAAACAGTAGACGGTCTGGTGAATCCTCGAAGCGCCTTCCCAAAAGATTAGCAGTACGGGGACCTTGGAAGCGATCTTCCATGGACCCATCTCGAGATAACGTCGCATATCTGGCCCGTTCCTCGTCCAGCGGTTGTCCATTGACAGCTTGCATCCCTCACGGGACAAATGATTCCGCTGCACGCAAGCAAGCGGGCCTCGAAGAACGACCACCCCGGTAAAGTCAGAAAATAAGGCGGGGCACGTCGGCGAGGCTTTGATAGACAAGAGGCGAATGCATGGGTGTACTGACTCCTTTCTGCGGTTTGTGAAACCTTCCAGAGGATGCCATAGCTTGTAATGAATCGGAACCGTGACTGAAGCCCAAGACCACGATGGGGCAGTAATGTCGTTGCTACTCTTACTCTCGACGGTGGTATAGTCGCAGAACCACATGAGTGAGCGGACAACGTCCCCTTCACATATACCCAGAACACACTTCTCGTTCTCATTCAAGACAGCTGCTAGGCATTGCACTACACCCTCAATAGCTATGACTCGGTCACTGATACGCGAGAACTTTCTTCTTGTGTAGTCCGTGAGGATTCTTCTCCAGGTGAGATGAATGTCGTGCCAAGGATCCTCGGAGAAATCTAGGTTCCTGGTGAGTAGCTGTTTCTTGACCTTTCTCTCATCGGAGTCTCGAAAACCAGTTGAATAATCACCCCGTAAGCCGGAAGGTCTAGTGTCAGCTGCGCTAAGACGGCAACAATCCTAGAAAAGGCTGCTCCTCGTGATACTCAGGACTCTTCTTGACAGTAATCTCTCTTGGAAAGTCCAGCCTCGTTGGTTGATTTCACTTTCGGGCCTGAATGGACAGTTACCAGTAGACTCGAGCCAGCGGTAAATGGACTCAGGGCTTCTTTTGTCAATTTCAGAAATCTTTCCTGTTATAAATGGCCTTAATGCTGCCCTAGAGGCTTCTTCGAGAGTGCAATTATGCCGCTCGCTTCTGCAGGGCTTCATCGGTGCTTCATGATGGGTACTGGGCATCTGTAGCTTCTGGTCGGTTCCGTCGCCAAAGCAGAGCGTCAGTATGGCGTTGCCGTATACCGACGCCATCTGGGAAGCTTCCGTGTGCCAGTCACCCCCCTTTCCCTGCATGATACACTAATGCGCAATGCGTCAGGAAGACCAAGATAGCGTTGAAAGTACGGCAGTAAGAAACTTACCGAGGCATTAATCCATATATATCTAAAGCCCAACATTCTTGCTGCTGTGAAAGCGTCGCAAAAAACGCGTGGAAGGTCTGCGGTCGGGAACTCATCCAAGAAACGGCTTTCCGTGGCTTGGTGGAGCTGCTGATTCGTGTCTGGATTATCTGGCCATCGCTGACAGCGAGATATTGGGGTTTGTGAAGGCGACTTGTCTCGACTTTGTTGATCTCCTGCGGGCAATTTATCTTTGAGAGAGTGTGTTGGTCTTCATCGTACAATGAATCTAGGTCGACAAGACGCCGCGGACATTCGAAGCGAAGATCGCGGTGGCATTCGTCGTGGTTCTTCATGCATTCTTCAAGCCATGACCTTGCAACATACATAGAAGCTGCTATGGCAAAGCCTTGATCGTAAAAGGCAATCTGGCTTTCGTAAAGTTTGCTGAAGCTCTCTGTGAACTGAAGATATTAGCCGTGCATTCTCCGTTGGCATTTCCAATAAGGCACGTTTGAACCGACCCTCTTGTCCTCCGTCGAAAAAGTATGGGAAAAGCCTGTCTTCGCGAAGGCTGGCTAGCACTTCAAATGCCTTCGCTCAAAGTCTATCCGAGAGTGGCACTCTGAGCGTATGAGTACCCAAAACCGTCGTATTTACGACAGCATTAACGAAGATTGTCACTTCGTTACGCCGTGGAAGCTCTTGACTCTCCAAAGGTGCGCCAACACATCTGAAACTCAGCTGCC